TATATATATATATATATATATATATATATATATATATATATATATATATATATATAAATACACACACATACAGTATACATTTGGAAAATATTTACATGTTTACATGCATACATTTAATTCATTTTATATATAAATATTTAATATATAAACATAGCATATTTTTCTTAAATATATACATGCATGTGTGTTTTTATACATACATAATATAAATATATACAGTGCACACATATATAATATGTAAACATAAACTTTTATTTTGGATGCGTTTAATCGTGGTTAATCGTTTGACAGCACTAATATATATATATATATATAACTTTAAGAATTGTATTTTCTTTGCAAATGTTCATGTGGTATACTCAAAACAGTCATGCAGGATGTATTTTATATTATATTATTTTATTTTATTATTTGTTATTATTATAAATCTTCCTTAAATATAATTTTGTTCATTTTAGGAGATGTTATGCAAAACTTCAACACATGTGGATGTAAAATATAGACTGAAATGCTCTGACAATGGAAGAACTGTTGCAGTTATTAAAAAAAAATTAAATTACTGATGATGATAATAATAATAGTAACAGTTGATTGGACACATTACATATTGCACACATTGTGAGCCCCCTCACACACTCACATTGTTTTGCCAATCACGTGTTATTTACTCAATCAGGTTAACCTCAAATTTGAATATGCATTTGAATTGAAATCATAAAAATATTGCAAACCATGACAATGTACCCATAATAGCTGATGGTCAACTAATATTAGTGATCGACCGATATTGATATTTTATAACCGATACCAATTATTTGCATGTTTATGTGCACGATAACCGATATTTATTTATTTATAAAGTAAATAAATGATTGAGTGAAGTAAGTCCATACTTCACTTTGGTTTTTCCTACTTTCAGCCATCTTAAAAAAAAGTGTTGAAAATTAGCAGTCTTTCATGTTAAATTTAATCTTCATATTACAATAAAAAACATTTAATTTAAAGCATCAGCAGCAACACTAATATTAACAATAAGCAAAATAAACGTAGAAGGTCTAACGTTTTCAAATGGAGAAAATAAATAAAGGACCGGAGTCGTATCAACTTCATTTTAAACTACAGTTTTAGTAGGTTTATAAGATGTTTAATAGGCTAAAGAGTGAAGAGTAATTCACTGAATAATATTCTCTGGAATATTGAAACATAACAAACAAAACATCGTATTTTATTGCATTTCTCAACTGGAATGCTATATCAGAATTACTAATAATGTTTTTGTCGTTCTAGATTATGAAATGCCTGCTGACAGCGTGGTTTATCTATGCATTTACACTATACTCAAACTGCGATCGCTGGTGGAGATAATAAATAATTAATTTCCATAGAGTTGTATCTATTTAGATATTTATTGGCGAAATAATGATTATATAGTAAATGTTAATACAATTTAGGGGTGTTTTAAACAAGTGAATCCTGTTAAAAGTTACATGCGGTGGCCGTGCTGGAACATTTCCTGAGCATCAACCCGGTGAGTGAACAGCAATATGAAAGCGGCTTCACGAGACTAATGATGAGTAAACATACAACAGAGAGAGAAGTAAATTTTGCGTTTTTAATACATGGCTGTATTATTTAACTCATGCAAAGTTACGTCTTTATTGGGACAGGACTTGACGGATTATCTTCGCGTACGTGACTCCAACTTCATGAGACGATGAGCATATAGACAACAGAGAGCGAATTCAATTCAGCACTTTTATTTCCAACATGCGCCCATTCATGGCTGCATATTATTTAATTCACACAAAGTTACGTCTTTATTGGGACAGGAGTCATGACGGATTATTTTACATGACTCTATTTCTTCGAGCCAAACTGCATAAACTGCATATCAGGCATTTATGTAATACATCTAATTTGTGCATTAATGGCTGTTATGTTAAATAAAGTTTACTAACTACATTAAATTAAGTACCTGTGCACGCCGTTGTTGTTGTCTCCTCTCCCCTCAGACGCCGTGGTGCAATGGCGATCCTGCGCGCAATTCTCAAAACATCCACAAGATGGCGGCGTTTATCGGTGAATCCGATATGACAAAACCGATATCCGATTATTGTAAAAGGCTTAAATATCAGGAAAAATATCGGTAAATCGATATATCGGTCAATCTCTAACTAATATACTCCTTGGCAATATGTTATTGTAGATCAAATATTGAGAAAAAGAGGACTGAGAGAATGCTTACATTAATGTGTTAAAAATGTCCACCACAGAAGAAGAAAACATTGTATGATGCTGGTCACATAGTGTTTTAATTAGGGGTACGCCGATCAGAGAAAGCAGTATCTTGCCGATACCGATCACCGATACCGATCTTTTTAAAGCCTTCTTTTTTATCATTTATAACTATTCTCGAATTGAGAGGTGATACGGGGGGATGGCATCCCCCGGTTGGAAAAAATGACAAAAAGCATACCCTCAGTAACCTCTTTGGATTCATAATGCCTACTATGTAAAACTTATCATGCAAATAACATGTTAAAATTCTCTATTTGTGTTTGTATGATGTATTCTGTACATAAATTGTTAAAATGTTATAATTCACGAATAACGGCGATTGGCCAATCAGAACTCGGTTCTGTAACAAGCTGCGCACAAGCTGAAGCAGGTTTTTGTCATTTTCCGCGCAAAATGGTTCAAGCGCAACTTTTGAAGTTTTTTAAAAAGAAGACAACAGAAAAGGTATGATTTTTCCTTGATTATAATTTAAAGACATTCCCCTGACATAACGTTATTGTGCTGTATGTGTGACTGTGAGCGATTGAGAGACGATAGGAGAGCTGGCATTATCGAGTCATCAACTTCACTGCGAAGTTGTGCATTCACTGCGCGATGAAGCCTATTGGTAGCTTTTTCAGCATTGCAATTATTGTCTTTTATACAGTACAGTAATACAATCTTTCAAAGACATGTTTAAACAATAAAAATAAGCAGCACATTATTCAATGCTTTTTACTTTTGCATTTACTTTAGATTGATATATTAAGTTGCTCAAGCAAGTGGCAAAACATTTAAACTACTTTTCTTACGTTATCACAAACTTACCATTGACAGAAATAGTCAGCTCTACTGCCTTTCCTTTTGCATTGAAATCTTTATTAAATGCAATTCAGTAACCTCTTTGGATTCATAATGCCTACTATGTAAAACTTATCATGCAAATAACATGTTAAAATTCTCTATTTGTGTTTGTATGATGTATTCTGTACATAAATTGTTAAAATGTTATAATTCACGAATAACGGCGATTGGCCAATCAGAACTCGGTTCTGTAACAAGCTGCGCACAAGCTGAAGCAGGTTTTTGTCATTTTCCGCGCAAAATGGTTCAAGCGCAACTTTTGAAGTTTTTTAAAAAGAAGACAACAGAAAAGGTATGATTTTTCCTTGATTATAATTTAAAGACATTCCCCTGAGCAGCGCAGCAATAGACTCGGTCTGGAAACCATCTCTGCACTGCCGCAGACGCACCGCTCGTGGAACGCACTGCCGGACAGCAACGGTGTGCAGTGTGCGCGCTTTATTAATTCGTTAACATGAGCACGGAAAAAATATGCACCACATACGCACTGCAAACGGAGTAATGTGAACCTGGCATTATGTGTGTGCGCTGCGAGTGCGAGTGTGCATGAGCACACGGTCTCCAGGAGAGCGCGCGAGCGCTGAATGGTTAAACACTGGCAAGAAATAAAAAGTAATGCAATTTATAAACTTTAGTGATGATGTGACACTGCCTCGATTGTGCAAGTGACAATTCCTGTGTCAACTGTGCAGCATTGCAGCTCGCTTATAGACAGACGCGATGTGTGGTGATTTGAAGACATTTGCAGATTTTGAGAGAGCGCGTGACTGCAGTTTGTATTTACTTGCATTATCTTTGTGTAATATTTAAATTTGTTTGATATGAGATATGAAGGTGAGTACCTCGCCTTCAGCATTATAATGATTTCACGCGCGCCGGACAGAGACTGAGACGGTGATGCTGCATGTCGTGCCAAACCTCTCATGGCAGCATCATCAGCTTGAGATCGGCCTTTTTAGAGACCGCCCATCAGTCATCCCAACGTGATTATCGGCCGATAATGATCGGTAGCCGAACAATCGGAGCACCCTTAGTTATAATAAACCATTTTTAGTTGCAGGATGTTATTTGTTCAGTGACATGGCTGACAGACATTTTGTGTAAATTGAATCTAAAAACTATATATATATATATATATATATATATATATATATACATACAGGGCTCGAATTGAGAGGTGATACGGGGGGATGGCATCCCCCGGTTGGAAAAAATGACAAAAAGCATACCCTCAGTAACCTCTTTGGATTCATAATGCCTACTATGTAAAACTTATCATGCAAATAACATGTTAAAATTCTCTATTTGTGTTTGTATGATGTATTCTGTACATAAATTGTTAAAATGTTATAATTCACGAATAACGGCGATTGGCCAATCAGAACTCGGTTCTGTAACAAGCTGCGCACAAGCTGAAGCAGGTTTTTGTCATTTTCCGCGCAAAATGGTTCAAGCGCAACTTTTGAAGTTTTTTAAAAAGAAGACAACAGAAAAGGTATGATTTTTCCTTGATTATAATTTAAAGACATTCCCCTGACATAACGTTATTGTGCTGTATGTGTGACTGTGAGCGATTGAGAGACGATAGGAGAGCTGGCATTATCGAGTCATCAACTTCACTGCGAAGTTGTGCATTCACTGCGCGATGAAGCCTATTGGAATACAGTCAAAATGTCCTTATAATTCAAGCAATTAAAGAAAAATTACCCATGTACTGTATGAGTTTTTGTGTTTTGTTATTCATTGCACAAGCTTGAGCTTAAACGCTTGCGTGGTGCATTATGGGATTGAAAGCGGCACAGAGAAAGCATTGAGAGTGGCCGAGAGCATCAAAAAGTTTGGGCATTCCTCGACTTTATGCAAATATTGAGCGAAAAACACCGGGCGACAACCAGTCACTGTGAAAAGAGGAAGATGAAACGCAAACAGGGTGTAAACATCGTTTTTAGAGGTGTGCTCTGCCCTAAATTTGACACGCCCCAAAGCAGTGGCGTAGTAGCGTTGCCAGCAGCACTGAGCGCAGATTTGACGCTGTAGTGGAAACGCACCGTAAGCACCATCGCCCCCTCGGTCCGTTTGCGATCGCGTTTCGGGGGTGGGGGGGTGGGGTGAGAGTGGACCCCCGACTCCCTGGGTCTTGGTCGGTCTGTTCGCCACGGGGCCCGGTTGCACCCCCCTAAGGACGGCCCTGTGTATATATATATATTTATTTTTGTTTGTGTGAGATTATTTATTTACTCTTAATGGATATATGAGGTATTTCTAAAAAAGAAAAAGTTAGAAAAATATAATTATCATCGGTGGACATAAGATGTATGCTAAATTGTCGAAAGCCTCTCCTGACTGTCTGTAATGCATCTGGAAATTGTACTTTTGACTTTGTTCTCTATACTCTTTGTATTCTCTTTATTGTAAAACTGTCATTTCATTTGATCCAGCATATACACTACCCTGATGTATTTTACATTTAAAATACAATTCTCCATTCTCCAAAGCTGTTTGCAAGTTGTTACGGAAAATATATTTGAAAAATGTGTATGTTTTCTTGTAGACAGTGAAACAGCTGTGTACACCCTCATGCCCATGGTCATGGCCGACCAGCACAGGTGAGTGTCACTGTTATGCTTTGAATGCAACTGGAACACAATTAATGACCGAACAAAGGCCAAGACAAACAGAAACACAATAACTTCATTCCCTGTCTAAACAAACCTAAACGAATGCCACCCACTCCTGCAGCTTCCCCAATACTAACCTCTGCTATTTCCAGTACAGTATGTATGACCGGCTCAGTGATTAACTGCTATAAATTTAATGGAAGCTAAAGAAGAGGATGTCAAGCTTAACATCCTCTTTGGGTGGCAGTCGTCTCCTTTAAACTTCCGTCTCTTTGGCCACATAGCTTACTGCAACAATTTTTTTTTGCTCATAGGTCAGTTTCTGAATTGCTTTTAAACTCAAAGTTTGATGTCAACTATGCCTTTGGACGTGTTAAAAGAAGCCTTCTACACATTGCTGCCAAGTAAGTTCTTTTCACATTCTCACAAAATTACCACATTTTCATGTCATATATATATATTTATTCAGATGACCCAAAATGTATATGTTCTCTGGATTTTTTGTTGTTGTATTAGCTGTGGATCGGTAGAGTGTCTTGTCCTGCTGTTAAAGCGTGGAGCGAATCCAAACTATCAGGACATCTCCGGCTGCACACCTCTGCATCTGGCTGCAAGAAACGGGTAAACGGGGGGGGGGCATGATATGAAAGCATATCAAATCACATTTTTTCAACTTCACATTCAACTAAGCGTTTGTGTGTATTGCTTGCAAAAGATGGTTACTGAGAAATGCATTTATGTTGAGTCCCATTAACATTTTTTCCCCCATGTTGTCTTCTGTTTTCACAGACAGAAGAAGTGTATGGGCAGACTGTTAGAGTTCAATGCTGATGTTAATATCTGCAATAATGAAGGTCTCACTGCTGTGAGTATGATGATAAAACTGCACATTTGAGACAGACACACAAAAACAACAACAACAAGAATGATAATAAAAACATCACTATTGAACATTTTCATAGTTATGAATATTACATTTATAAGTAATAGTAAAGTAATCAAAACTGTGAAATAACACTAAAGAAATAAAGTTGCCAATTGCATTTCTTTTTAAACCATTTTTTCATATGCATATGTATGCTGGAAGCCTACTGCTCTACCGACCCACTTTTAAAACAATGATTTTTATCAATATTTAGTAATACATTTAATAAAGGAACTCTTATGAAGGTATTAAACTAATTTTAAGCTTTTGAGCAGCAGTGTTGGGGGTAACGCATTGCAAGTAACGCGAGTTACGTAATCAGATTACTTTTTTTTATGTAACTAGAAAAGTAACACTTTATTAATTTAGAAGGAAATATCAGAGTTACTTTTTTTCAAATAAGTAACGCCAGTTAGTTTGTTTTCCATGTCTTAATTGACAGCTCTGGTGTTGCCATGTTGAAAAAAATCGGGAGTAAGTGCAGAGGCGTTGTGTGCGCTGTGTGAACATGATGCTACTGCAGTTCTAGACTAAATATGAACATGTATTTTAATAAAAACAGTCAAATGCAAACTCAGAATATTACACAAACCTGCAATAATTAAATGTTAAAAAGGCCAAATATAATTTATGGATTTAATCCCATTTTATTAGCCAGCGTCTTTGCTATACCGACCTTCGATTATCCAAATTCAGCCATACTAAGCAAAAATGACACATTTGTGTTAAATTTTTCTTATTGCTGAATAGTGTTGAACTGTTTTCTCGTGCTTCATATTCTTTCTTTATGCAATTTGTTTAAGCAGCACCCTCTACTGTATAGACATGAATTAATATTTCCTTCAGCCTGAGGCGTTGTTCATTTCACTTTTGTTGTGAAAGGGCTTTTACATTTGTAAAATGTGACCCTGGAGCACAAAAGCAGTCTTAAGTCGCTGGGGTATATTTGTAGCAATAACCAAAAATACATTGTATGGGTCAAAATGATTGATTTTTCTTTTATGCCAAAAATCATTTGGATATTAAGTAAAGATCATGTTCCATGAAGATATTTAGTAAATCTGCTACTGTAAATATATTACAACTTAATGTTTGATTAGTAATATGCATTGCTAAAAACTTCATTTGGCCAACTTTAAAGGCCATTTTCTCAATATTTGGATTTTTTTGCACCCTCAGATTCCAGATTTTCAAATAGTTGTATCTCGGCCAAATATAGTCCTATCCTAACAAACCATACATCAATGGAAAGCTTTATTCAGGTTTCAGATGATGTATCAATCTCAATTTCGAAAAATGGACCCTTATGACTGGTTTTGTGGTCCAGGGTCACAAATAATAAATTTTTATATTAAAAACAAACAAGCAAGCCCTGCCCAAATTTAAAAAAGTAATTCAAAAGTAAAGAGAAACATTACTTTCCATAAAAATAAACTAATTAACATAATTAGTTAATTTTTTTAGGGAGTAACGCAATATTGTAATGCATTACTTCTAAAAGTAACTTTCCCGAACACCGTTGAGCAGTAGCCTAGACCATCAGATGCATGAATTTAAACCTAATTGAAACTTAATCTTATTTATTTTACATTAAAACAATGTCTTATATATATATACAGTGGGTACGGAAAGTATTCAGACCCCCTTAAATTTTTCACTCTTTGTTATATTGCAGCGTATTTTTTTTTTTTTACTAATAGTAGAAGTGCTGTTTACTTGTATTTTATTCTTTGTCATTCTTTCATGTCATTAGATTCATTGGCTGTCAGTGAATGGAAGGACAGAGCTACTTCATGACCTGGTGCAGCATGTGTCTAATGTGGACGTGGAGGACGCCATGGGCCAGACAGCCTTACATGTGGCCTGCCAGAATGGACACAAGACTGTACGAAATCTCTCTGTCTTCACAGCTTGCACACTTGCACTTTGTAGTTTAAAAATGATATATATATTTTTTTGTAGTTTCGTTAAGGTTCATGTGATGTTTTTGTTTCTCACAGACTGTGCAGTGTCTTCTGGACAGCGGAGCGGACATCAACAGGCCCAATGTATCTGGAGCCACTCCACTCTATTTCGCCTGCAGGTGAGCAGCTAACCATCATCAACCCCGGCACTACCAGCTGCCAACACAAACGTACAATGTTTAGCATGATTACTGTATATTTCACTCCGGCCTGGACTGGAAATGTATGGTCAACAATTAGAATGTGGCCCCTTAAGAAAATTAACTTCCATTCAGTGACTGAATCTGGATGCTTTCTGACTACACAAGAAACATAATTAGGATAATCAGGGGTTTGTACAGATATATACAGTATATATATATATATATATATATATATGCACGGAGTAACGTGAGATGCGTTTAGCTGTATACGCATACATTTTGTATCTTATAGGCGTTTCGTCCAGACGGGTCCGGCGTTTTTGGAGAGTGAAACCGATATTTTTTGAAACCGGGTCCCAGAGTGTATAAATCTGAAAACGCCGCCCTTGCATTTTCGTGTGGACAGCGAATCCGTATATTTTCTGAAACTATGACGTCATCAGCCCACGTCTCACCCCTAGTCAGACACCGCTACGTCACGTAACAGCAACAAAAACATGAACAAACACTGAACGATTGTCTTTTTATTAACTAACATTAACACAGATTAATAAATGTATTGTTCCATGTTTGTTTTTTATAGCGCACGCAAGGTTTATGCGCATAGTCCAAGTCTGAGACACGTTTAGCTGTATACGCATACATTTTGTATCGTATAGGCGTTTCGTCCAGACGGATCCGGCGTTTTTGGAGAGTGAAACCGATATTTTTTTAAACCAAGGTTTATGCGCATAGTCCAAGTCGTCTTATCCGTTTTTAGTGTATCTTTGTGGCAGAATTACAGCGCCACATGCTGGTCTGGCATGTATACTACATCGTTTTGTGTCAGTTTCGTGGTTTCGTGTGGACGCAGATATTTCTTGAGACGAGGTGAAAAAAAAGATAGGATAGGGAAAGCTCTGGCTTCGTGTGGACGTAGCCTGAGAGTGCAGCTTTGGATACACTCACATGAGCTCGGTTGCTGAGCAACAGCACTCCATCCGTCTCGTTTTGATTACATTTTGCAACTGATATCAGTCCAAGCAAGGCTGGTGATGATGCGATCAACACTAACATGCCTCACAACAGATAATTAAAGAGTAATTAAACATACGCTTGAAAGGCTTTTAAAACATGGAATCTGGGCCTGTTCTGACTCTTGCAATTCCATGCCAATTTTTGTGATGCTTACATGTTGTAAATCAACCATACACATTTGTTCCAGATGACTGGAATAGCTAGAAAAGTCATGTACATCTATTGGTTATAAAAATGGAATCACTAAAAAACATGAAGCTCTTAAAACCTCTGGAATCTTGAAAATAAATTATTATTGTTATTAAAAATTATTACAAATTTTACCGACATATCGCGCAAGACTTACTGATATAGCAATTATAATGAAACTTTATGTGGAGTACTACTTGCACATTTCTAAATATTAAGCCTAAAATGTGTTTTAATATTGCTGAGAATTGTATGGTCTTTCAATAATATTGTCTTTAAATGCAAGATATTTAAAGTGCGCCTAAAGTATACTTGCAATAGTTCCACTTTAGCACAATCAAATATACTTCAGTATATTTTTAGTTGGACTTCAGCACTACTTCCACACTATTAAAGTGCATGAAGTACAAAATAAATTGCTCCAATTTAGCAGACTTTAAGTATACCAAAAGTACAATTGCAGGGTATTTTTATTAAGTGCATACATGTAAAGGTATTTGTAGTATACTTAGCATGAAATAAATGTATTTCAAATATGTTTTAGTATATTGATTTTTCACTAGAGTAGGCCTTGGGGGGCCTTTCAATATTGTAGGCAAAAACATTGACAACTGTTGGTAAAAATATTTTTCTCATCCAGTTTAATGACACAGTCATTTGAAGGTAACTCCTTGCCCATTTTACGCAACCGTGCATGTTATGCATATTTGCTTATTGCCATAAATTTGTATTACTTGTGTGCTACATCCAAGCCATTTTAGTTCGTTTTTGGCACATTTGCCTTAAAGGGGTCATATGATGCGATTTTATGTTTTCCTTTCTCTTTGGAGTGTTACAAGCTGATTGTGCATAGATAAGATCCCTGAAGTTGCAAACACTAAAGTCACAAACCCAAAGAGATATTCTTTATCAAAGTTAAGACTTTGCCACGCCCCCCTAAAACGGCTCGTTCTAACACGCCCCCACATATCTACCTCACTATGTGGAAATATTTGCGTAATGCGCCCAAATGTGCATGCAAAGAAAGAAGGCGTGGTTTCAGTAACCGCAGTTAGTGTTGAAGCAGCATGTCAGGGAGACGCTGTGTGTTTCTAGGCGAAAGCAAAAGCACTTTATTTGGCCTTCCGAAAGTAGATGCATTTAGGAATATTTAAGATGACTTGCAACAGAACAGCAATGCATTTTATAGACGACCGTTTCGTGAAGGTCATTCTGACTTTGCTACGACAATCTAGCGCTTCTGAATGAGCTACTGTTTTGTTATTAGTTTAAGTATTTGCTATTGACTGTTCAAATGCGGAGTTTTGCGCATTGTGTGTGTGTGTGTGTG